GAGCGCTAAATAAAATGCTGGGCTTACCAATTTTGAAGTCAAAAGTTGGCATAGATGATGATAATCTTGTTTTGACTTGCTTGAACATTAAACCACCAAGTCACACATGCATTCAAAAACATCTGAACAGTTTAAGTGACAGTGCAACTCCTCTTTACCAGGAATCCAGGATTCAAAACCAGGAAACGACATCAAACACGTTACTACCCTGTCAGGGAAAAAAAGAACGGCAGACGTACAATTTGATGTTTCATTTTCTCGTCAACTGAGAGGTGGTTCTGGTGAGATAATAGATAAAATTTTAGCCAGATGCAGAATTTGTATTCACCTGGAGTATTATTTAGGATATTATATACAAAAAGACAACTTTTGATTTTATTGTATTAATATAATAGGTGGATTTTTGAAGAGATTTTCTAAGAATTTTGTAGAAATGAGGAAATATCACCCCTTACTAAGAGGGCGTAGCTACAAGCGATCTTGGGTTAAGTGTTTCAACAGATTTAAAAGGAACATGTACCTTATATTAAAAAATGTGAAAACTGACCGAATCAAACTTATGAAAACAGAACTTTTCAATATCTTCCTACTGACGAAGCTCAAGATGTTATTCACTTGTGCAAAGATAAGAATACAATGCCTTACAAACTCAGACCTCAACTTGAAAACAAAAATAAAACTTTGAGTGATGTAGAGGATGAAAACATAATTGTAAATATCACACAACTGCAACTGCTTTTACAAAGTGTACACCATTGTAAATTGCCAATGCTGAAATTGAATATTGACCAGAGACAAGGCCTTCACATCACAATGTCGGCAAAGTGTAACAGTTGCAAGATGGTCATTCCAAACATCAGCTTGTCGGACACCATGTCAAATACAAGAGGACCACCCTCAGGAGCGCTAAATAAAATGCTGGGCTTACCAATTTTGAAGTCAAAAGTTGGCATAGATGATGTAAGTCTTGTTTCGACTTGCTTGAACATTAAACCATCTAGTCACACTTGCATTCAAAAACATCTGAACAGTTTAAGTGACAGTGCAACTCCTCTTTACCAGGAATCCAGGATTCAAAACCAAGAACACATCAAACACGTTACTACCCTGTCAGGGAAAAAAAGAACGGCGGACGTACAATTTGATGTTTCATTTTCTTGGCGACCGAGAGGTGGTTTCCAGGCTGCCCAGCAAAGCTTTGGTGTTGCAATAGACCATTCAACCACCAGACCACTGCCTATTGCAACAGCCATAGCAAACAAGCTCTGTCGTAAACCAATGTGCAGTCATACAGAAACAAAGTGCAAGAAGAGGTACAACTTAGATTTATCTATTACCTCCAGTGAAAGAACCCTGCTCCACCAAAGTCTGGACAATATCAGAGGTACTGGACTATTGAAAATACGATCAGTCACAACAGAATCTGATGCAAGCTTGCAATTAGCAAAATCTCTAATGGATTTAATATCACACTGAAAAGAATTTGTGCACCAGTATACAGTCATGAAAATTACATATATTTGAAGTTATAGTTTTTGAGTGTTCTACATCATCAATAAACATTTCATTTATAATTTGCTGCCCAGGTAATCTGTGGGTAATAATATTTTATTAATATTAGTGATATAAGACCATTTTGGTTATTATATACACCTTTCTATTGCAGGTTAAAGAAAAAAAAAAACAAGTGGCCCCTCGAAACAAGTTTTTACATATAGATATAATTGCTTAATATTTGACATATATGTTTGTCTTCATAGATGAAACTAATCAGGCTTCAGTGGTGGCCGCTTAGTATACCAGAATTCTTCACATGGAGGAGTATATCTCCAAATTTAATACTTTTAAGTTAGTTTTAGAAGGATGAAGATAAAAAATTACTAATTTATTTTAAAAGTGAACATTTATTGTAAAAGTGAACATTAATGATATCATATTCATTATTGTGTGAATAGAATAATTTTCCACACTTATCCGATTTTATTAACCGTTACTGTGAAATCAGTTCAAGAAACGTTTGTTTTCCACAATTTCTATTTTCTATTATAGATGTTATATAGAGGTTGGATTTATGACATTTGGATTGACATCGGATTCTGACATCATTCATATACAACTAAATTCCAGCGTCTATCCAACGTCGGACTCTAACGTCTGAGCAACGTTGATACAACGTCATGTGTTTGCTGGGCCGACTCAGGACCCTGGTAAAAATATCAGGGTTATGAAACCCACAAGTATTCCAGGTTAAGGATGTCAATGAATGAATCCCCTTCTGGAATAATGTATTTACTTATGATTTTCAATTACATAAGATGACCAGGCTTCGACATTAGCGGTGGTCCATTGGTCCGAGACCACTTGATTTTGGCAAGGACCACCTAATTTTACAGGCAACTGGTCCGTTAGACCACTTGAATTTTCCAAATGGTGCAGGGCTCATCTGGGAAAATGGTTATTTGGTCGAAAAACATGTTCTTTAATTGTTGTTTAAAACCATTTCTCCGATGTACAGGTACATGTTCATTCATCTCATTAGTTCAAAAAGATCTTAAGACATCCATAACTTTTTATTAACTCGCTAACAGTGTAGTTAAAAAGTAGAAAATTATTTTAATAATTAAAGTATAAAATTCATTCAAATGTCTCTAGTACTGCATTGAATTTATAACATTGTATCACTATGGGATATCGGATAAACACATGAATAATGGTGCAAACAAAGGCAAAGGAAAAATTAAATATCTAGTAATCTTTGGCTACTTTTTTAAACGATCAGAGATCCATTTTTGTCTTATTTAAAGTACTTTAAAAGGTTATAAATACTTTGTCAAAAATATATAAATTTCAACAAACAAGCATGTATAATAAATCTGTGAGGAAGATAAGCTCAATTATAATGTAGGAATTTTTCTGTTTATCATTAATATTTCATTGTTTCAAAGACAAGAATATAATAACTTAATAGTTTAATTAAAAATGTTAATCTATAAAAAGCAATTATTATTCTTATAAGATGTACCAGGAAACAGCAATGAGTATTTGAATAACAGTAAGGAAGTAAGTCATTCACAAATGGTTTCTCTATTCCCTAACTTGAGTTGCGGAAGAAGTCACTTAACCGAAGTATGAGTACTGTCATGTATTTTTTAATGAGATAATAAATACTAAATAGGATTACAATGACTTACTATCTGATTAGATTGAAATAGAAAAACATACATGTTTTCTTCAGTTGTTATAAATCTAATAATAAATATGTCTCTGTCACCAATTTTAAGTGTAGTTCTTCTAAATCTGAAGTTTCCTTAAAAACAATTGAGTAAAAAAAGATGGACCACCTGTGTTCAGAAAGGACCACCTGAATTTTGGATCCAGTGGTCCGGCATACCACCCAGTGTTGCATCTAGAATTTCAAAATTATGGGGGATTGTCCCCCACTCAACTAAAAAATGTGGGGGATTTATAAAAAATGTGGGGGACATACATTTACTTTACAATATCATATGGCGTACCAAAAAGAATTCATTTATTTTACGTTCAGGCATTTTTGACAGCTATCGTCCACCCAAAAACGGAAGTAGAAAAAATAAAATATTGACGAATACTACAAAATACACGCGAGATGACCCAGTTGGCTGCTACACGCGATTTAGTACATATTTTAGTCATAACCTAGAGTGAAAACAAACATGGCAGAAGCGTTCAAGATACAATGAAGATAAATTGAATTAAGTTGTAAAGATCGTCAGATGCGCGACTTAGCGCGCATTGACTTCATTAAAATGCGCGATCTGCATAAAAAATGCGCAAATCACGCAATCGCGCGGCCTAGATGCAACACTGCCACCTGCTGAAAAAGTTAGTGTCAAGACCTGAGATGACTAAGATTATTTAATAACATGTTTTAAAATGCTTTGATTTATAAAACAAATTCTTATTCTAATTGAAGCAGGTGCGGAAACATTTTGAAAAAATCGATTTATTCGGTTTTTTTTGGTAAAATAACACAATAAATATTCTTTGACACTCGTTGGTGGCGGCCATTTTGAATAGAAGCGTATCAGGAGACCTCCATATTTGGAATGATGCCAAGTATTGCAAAGTATTTTTAACTTCCCTAAAATACCAAAACCAGGGTAAAGAAACGCTTTCCAACAAAGTCTGGCAAGTAGCGAGGTAACAGAAGAAAAGTATTTTTATATTTTACTGAAAATAGGCAAATTTTGAACAATTGTGTAGGCATAATAAGTTAATAAAACCATAATATTTTTAGCCTTATTCAATTCATTTTGTATCAATAATTTATCAAATTAACGCATTAGCTCTACTTTCCCTGTCCATGCGAAGTTGACCTTCAATACCGAAAGTAGATTTGACTATGAACTGTCAAATGAATTCGTGACTTGCATTTTTTGGATGATCAAGTACACCGATTAAAGACATTTTCTACAGTTTTATGAAAAATTAATCCTTTCATAGAATTTTCTAAATTTTTTGTATGATGAGTAAAATTTAATGACGAATTTAAAAATAAAAAGAAAAATATATGTTGACGTGTTGGATTTCTTGTAAAATGGCAGTTTCCATGGTAACCGTATATCTAAAAACTGTCAAAATAGCCTAACTGTGTTATAACGAATAGAAAATATATAAGATATCTTAAAACACACAAAGAGCATTGTTTTATGCAAAGATAATCTTATCTAATGATTCTGTATGAAACAAATGCCAATCTGAACATATTTCTTTAAAAAATGAGTTTTCCATGTTCCTCAACCGAACAAAAAATGAGAAAAATAAACATGAATTCTGAGAATAATTAGAGATATTGAAAAAAGTGTTTCATAGGATTTTCTAATTTTTTTATATGTTGTGTAAAATTTAATGACAAATTCAAAAAGAAAAAGAAAAATATATGTTGGCGTGTTGGATTTTTTGAAAAATGGCAGTTTCCATGGTAACCGTATATCTCAAAATTGTCAAAATAGCCAAACTGTGTTATAATAATGTATAAAATAGCTTATTACACTCACAATAAACATAATTTTATATAAAGCTTGCTTTATCTTAGGGTTCTGTATAAAACAAACGATAATTGGAACATAAAAAATTATTTCTTTAAAAAATAAGTTTTCATGCTTTTTAACTAAACAAAAAATGAGAAAAATAAACATGAATTCTGTAAAAAATTAAAGCTATCAAGAAATTTCTTTCATAGAACTTTTTACATTTTTGATATATCAAGTAACATTTGATGGTGGATTCAAAAATAGAAATAAAATATATATGTTGACGTGTTTGTTTTTCTTAAGAAATATCAGTGATATACTAAATAAAATAAGAAAATAATGAAATTCGGAACATTTCTTAGATATTAATTTTGTTTTTTTATTCAACACTTTTAAAATATATCATTTTAAACTTCTTTGCCCAGATGTCTGCCAGTAATCAAGTCGCGACGCTGTCACGCACTTTCGTCACTATACCACAAGTGGGTGGGGTAACGCGCGCAGAATTATCATCAATGCTGTCGTACTAATGCTTGGAGAAATCCTTTATGTGATGTTGTCTTAACAACCTCTTATTCTTTTGAACCGATCGCCTTTTGAACATTTAGAAATATCTATTCTGTATTATTTACTCATTATTTGCTTATAGCCGAAATTTAAACACGTATCCGAATACTATTCAACTTGACCTTCATTTGAAGAGTAATTATCCGTGATTATCTTTCTTGGAAGCGCATAACGATGCGTACAGAAAACTACCGAAAACGTCTTTAATGTATTATTAACTTATTGAATAGCAATTGATCATCAATTTAACAATGAAGAAGATGATAAATTTAATTATTTTAGGACAGTCCAGTATTTTCAAAGAGGAGACGGATTGGCAGTAACAGTGACCAACAGTTAGTAGTAAGTGATTATGACTTATCCTGTTCATGTTTTTCCCCAGTTTTCTCCCACCTATCTAACCTACTGTTAGGAGTTTTTAACACTGACGAAAGCGGGTTTCCTATCAGTGTTAAATCATCTTAAGTACTTGCGCCCAAGGGATCTAGACATGTTTATCAAGTACTGAGCAGTGACAAAACACAAATAACTGTACTTGCATGTTTCAATGCATTTGGCAATTATATACCCCCGTTTATTATTTACCCAGTTTTCCGTAGGCCATTCCGTAAATGGCTGGATGGATGGAGAATTATTCACATCCTTCGTCCATCATTTTCATGACTACATAAAGGAAAAAGGTATTCCTTTGCCCGTTATATTATTTGTAGATGGACAAAGTACTCATATGTCATTGCCAACAGCACGTTTTTGTTCAGAGAATGCAGACTTCCCGAAAGTTGAAAAAAACTGTCAGACATTCGGTCTGACAAACCATGAAAATCTGTCGGACCGAAACAAAATCTGTCGGACCAAATAAAATTGATCAAAATCAATGAAAAACTTGTGGTTGTATTTCTGAGACACTTTTTGTTTTTTATTTTTTCGCCGTAAAAATCGGCACAATCCGTACAGCGCATTTTCATTTCCTCCCTGTCATACACCAATGATTCATGGTTCTTTTTCCATTTTTCATTAAAATTTGTCTCAGGTCTATTCTTTTCATCCTTTTATTGCTGTTCTGCGCACTCTTCTGACGTAGATTTTCGTTCTTTCCCTGGTTTGGCACCTTTAGCAACGCCATTTTGTATACATGCGGCTTGGATAAAAGCCGGACAGTCGGACCTATCCGGAATAAAAAATTGTCGGACCTGATCAAAATTTATCGGACATGTCCGTCGGACCGACGTATTTCGGGAAGTCTGAGAATGGCATAATCTTATATTGCTTGCTTGAAAATGTAACCCATATGATAATCTATGTGCCAAAAATGGGTCAAAGACAGAAAAGGCCGAGTTGCATATGTATACAAAATATCATGAGGCTGTGAACTGTTATTTAAATTTTCTACCACTGACCATTAATGTCGAAAATTTAACTAATTTGGCAAACAGGAAATAGATGAGCGACAGACCTGAAATGAAATCCCACAGCACATTGTCCAAATTTTGGCAACACATTTTTATAATGTAGACTAACTTCAAACTTCTGTAAAATATTCATTTATTTTCCAATTTTTATTATACAAGTACCATAATGAAAGAAATGCAAACTAGTCAAATCGGCCCAAAGTCAGATCTAACCCAAAATTAGTCAATTCGGCCTCAAAATTAGTCAAATCTGCCACACAACAATTTTAAAAAGTCAAATCGGCCCCAAAACTAGTCAAATCGGCCCCAAAACTA